AAAAAAAAAAAAAAAAAAAAAAAATTCTCTAAAGCCAGGTGCGGTGGCTCACACCTGCAATCCCAGCACTTTGGGAGGCCAAGGTGGGTGGATCTCTTGAGGTCAGGAGTTCGAGACCAGCCTGGCCAACATGGTGAAACCCCGTCTCTGCTAAAAATACAAAAATTAGCTGGGTGTGGTGGCGTATCCCTGTAATGCCAGCTACTAGGGAGGCTGAGGCACGAGAATCACTTGAACCTGGGAGGTGGAGGTTACAGTGAGCTGAGATCACACCACCACACTTCAGCCTGAGTGACAGAGTGAGACTCTGTCTCAACAACAAAAACAAAAAAAATTCTCTTAAAAGTGAAAACTGGGCAGGGTACAGTGGCTCACATCTGTAATCCCAGCACTTTGGGAGGCGGAGGAGGGCAGATCACCTGAGGTCGGAAGTTCAAGACCAGCCAGATCAACATGGAGAAATCCCATCTCTAATAAAAACACAAAATTAGCCAGGCATGGTGGCACATGCCTATAATCCCAGCTACTAAGGAGGCTGAGGCAGGAGAATCGTTTGAACCTGGGAGGCGGAGGCTGCAGTGAGCCAAGACAACGCCATTGTGGTCCAGCCTGGGCAACAAGAGCAAAACTCCGTCTCAAAAAAAAAAGTGGAAACTGATCACTCTGATTTTCAGGTCTTGATCATATTAGCCAAACTTGTATCTCCATATGTAAAACAGAAATGACAATGGTACCTACCTCACAGGTTTTCAGTGCACTAGGCATAATGTCCAGCCAGAGTTCAAGTTAACTTACCTTTTTCATGTGCTCTTGAGAAAAGACAGTTGCTACATATATTGCATAAAAGCATGCCCCTAAAACAGCCAGAACAATACAGTTCAAAAACAGTCTCAAAGAGTAAATGCGTATTGTTTCTTCTGAGGTCCTTTCTGCTATTTTCTGCCGTATTCTTTCTTCCTCCAGATCTGCCTGAAGATAAAAGAAAATTCATTTGTGAGCAGTGGGATGAAGGGATACTCAGGGATAGAAACTGATTCATCACTCTCTCCCCACCCATCTTTAAGAGTTCTAGCCAGGCGTGGTGGCTCACTTCTGTAACCCTAGCACTGTGGGAGGCCAAGGTAGGAGGATCACTTGAGCCCAGGAGTTCAAGACCAACCCTGGCAACATAGGGAGACTCCATCTCTACAAGAAAACCCAGAAGATTTAGCTGGGTGTGGTGATGAATGCCTGTAGTCCCTGCTACTCGGGACGCTGATGTGGAAGATTGCTTGAGCCTGGGAGTTCAAGTCTGCAGTGATGTATGATCATGTCACTATACTCCAGCCTGGGTGACAGAGTGAAATGCTATATCAGGAAAAAACAAAAACAAAAAACAACAACAACAACAACAACAAAAACTTCTTTTAAATATTCATCTCCCACAAGATACCATCCTAGACTTAGCCTAACTACTTTTTTTCTTTTTTTTTGAGATGGAGTCTCGCTCTGTTGCCAGGCTGGAGTGCAGTGGTCCAATCTCGGCTCACTGCAACCTCTGACTCCCTGGTTCAAGTCATACTCCTGCCTCAGCCTCCCGAGTAGCTAGGATTACAGGCATGCACCACCATGCCCAGCTAATTTTTGTAATTTTAGTAGAGACGGGGTTTCACCATATTGGCCAGGATGGTCTCAATTCTCCTGACCTTGACCTGCCTCAGCCTCCCAAAGTGCTGTATTACAGGCATGAAGCTCTGCGCCTGGCCTAGCCCAACTATTTTTTATGTCTACTAAAGGCTTAAGTAAAGGTAGAACCTATTTAAGACTGCAATTGGGCTTTGCAATAAATGTGAAAACAGAACTATAAACTATTCATGATATTACTTAAATATAGTATGTGTCATTTCTTCAAACAGCATAGAGGTGAGGTGTTGTTATTTTTTCTTTTACACAATCTAGTAGTCTCTGCTTTTATTAGGAGAATTTAATCTGTTTGTATTTAGTGTAAGAAATAATAGATTTGATTTGATTCCTTCCATTTTATTATGCTTTTGATTTATTTGTCCCCTCCTCCTTTGCTTTGATGGGTTTATTAACATGCTATTCTTTACTCCTTTCTCTCCTTATTCATTTGGAAACTCTTGGGTTTTTTTTTTTTTTTTTTTTTTGAGACAGAGTCTTGCTCTGTCACCCAGGCTGGAATGCAGTGGTGCAATCTCGGCTCACTGCAATCTCCACCTCCTGGGTTCAAGCAATTCTCCTGCCTCAGACTCCCGAGTAGCTGAGACTACAGGCATGTGCCACCATGCCTGGCTAATTTTTTGTATTTTTAGTAGAGATGGGGTTTCACCATGTTAGCCAGGATGGTCTCGATCTCCTGACCTCGTGATCTGCCTGCCTCAGCCCCCCAAAGTGCTGGGATTACAGGCATGAACCACCGCGCCCGGTCTGTACTTTTTCATATACTCTCCATCCCACACTATGGTCATAACATTCCCTCCTTACTCCCATTTCTCCTGGTATAAGCAGTGTTTATGACAGGTCCTCCTCACGTGGAAAAATAACAGTGTAAAGTAGTAGGGTCTGGGGAAAGACATCACCTCCTTCCAGCCACTGTGTCCCCACCCCACTTCCCAGTTCCAGTTCACCAGAGCTCCTATTCAGGTCTAGGGTAATCAACCCTAGTAACGTGTTTGCTGTGAAAAGTTCTTGAAAGCTATAGAGGGGTAACTTGCTAAGCACCAGGGACAACCTGTCCCCCACCCTTGATTCTCTGAAAGCTGAAAACTCAGGCTCCAAAGGCAGGACCTTGCTGGTGAGGACCCCACCATGGGAAAACCCAGGAGCACTCACTCGGAGCTCGTACCGCAAGCTGCTGTGCTTCAGATCCGCCATGCTGCGGTTAGTGATGCAGAAGTCCCAGCCGGCAAAGATCTTGTTGCAGTAACTCTGAAAGTGCTCCTCACTCCGAATCAGGTTGATTTTGAATCCTTCCACTGACCTGACCCCAAAACACAATCATCCTTCTTATAGAAACAACAGCAAAAGAGAGTCCCCTGAACTGGCTGTGTCTGAAACTTAAAAAGTGAGACATAGCTGCATTTTCAGCCCATTGCGACATGGTCAAGTTTGGGGCCATTCTAAATATATGTGGCAGCTAACAAGGTATCTCATTGTTGATCCTTTCCTTTACCCATCTAATTGCTTCAAACACAGCTAGAATAAAATCCATACTTTTTTACCCAACTTTTATTTTAGATTCAGGAGTACATGTGCAGGTTTGTAACCTTGGTAATACTGCATGATGCTAAGATTTGGGGTAGAAATGATCCCGTCGTCCAGGTACTGAGCATAACATCCAACAGTTCTTCAATCCCTGCCTCCGTCTCTCCCTCTCCACTCTAGGAGTCCTCAGTTTGTTTTGCTGCCATCTTTATGTCCATAAGTACCCCATGTTTAGCTTCTACTAATAAGTGAGAAAATGCGGTATTTGGTTTTCTGTTCCTGCATTAATTTGCTTTGGATAATGGCCTCTAGCTGCAACCATGTTGCTGCAAAGGACATTATTTCATTGTTTTTTATGGCTGTGTAGTATTCCATGGTATTTATGTACCACATTTTCTTTATCCAGTCCTCCGCTGATGGGCACCTTGGTGGATTCCATTTCTTTGCTATTGCGAATAGCACTGTGATGAATATACGAGTGCACATGTCTTTTTGGTAGGACGATTCATTTTCTTTTAAAATCCAAACTCCTTAATACAGCTGAGAGATCCCTATGTGATCCAGCTGTGCCATCGCCTCTCCTCCCATGTAACTATACTTGCTTTCTCTCTTTTCTATAAATACACAAATTCCTGTTCCTGCCTCTGGGAAATTCCCACTACTATCTCCAGGGATGGTGCTCCTCTCACCCTCCCTATGGCTGGTCTCCTTCCCATCCTTCAGGTTTGGGTTCAAATAACCCCTTTGTAATCCCTCATCTCCCCATCTAAGGCTGTAACCCCCACTTCAAGCCAGTCCTTTTTACGTATTTATTTATTTACTTATTTTTGAGATGGAGTCTTACTCTGTCACCCAGGCTGGAGTGCAGTGGCGCAGTCTCGGCTCACTGCAACCTCCGCCTCACAGGTTCAAGCGGTTCTCCTGCCTGAGCATTCCAATTATAGGCACCTGTCACCGCGCCCAGCTAATTGTCTGTATTTTTAGTAGAGACAGAGTTTCAACAGGTTAGCCAGGCTGGTCGCGATCTCCTGACCTCAGGTGATCCGCCTGCCTCGGCCTCCCAAAGTGCTGGGCTTTCAGGCATGAGCCACCACGCCCAGCCCAGTCCCTTTTATTTAATTCACAGCAGTGATACTAACCTGCAATTATCTTATTCATCTGTTTACTGCTTGTAACTCCTTACTCTAACTAAATTTTAAATTCCTTGAGAGCAGGTCCCCTGGCTATCTTGCCACCTTTCTATCCATAATGCATGGACTATATACTTTGGTTAACATGCAACTGATGGATAAAGCAATGAATAAATGACTTAAATAGTATATTAACTATTTAGTGAGCACCTGTTTAGGTCAGATACAATTGTTGTGTATTTTTATTCATTCAAATGCTTTCATGGGAAAAATACGCCTGGCACTGGATATAAAACACCAGATGCCATACACAGTCCTCTGTAGATGAAACAGGTTATTTTTAGGATTTGCCAGTGAGGCATAAAGACAATAGAAATGGAAGGAATTGTCATGATCAGTCATTCTGCCAAAGGATTACAGCAAAGAATTTATGTCAGAACCACACGGAGTACCTTCCCCAAATCCAGTTCCCAAATGGTTACTTACCTGAGATTTTCAATTCAGTAAGTCTCATGCGGGCTCCAGAAATACACCATGTTATAAAGCTTATGGTGACCCATCCCAGTTGCAAGCCTCTGATTTAGACCAGACCTACATTTTATTTTTTATTTTTTGAGATGGGAGTCTCACTCTGTCACCCAGGGTGGAGTGCAGTGGTCTGATCGTGGCTCTCGGCAGCCTGAACCCCCCCAAGTTCAAGTGATCCTCCCACCTCAGCCTCCCACATAGCTCAAACTACAAGCACGCACTACCACACCTAGCTATTATTTGTATTTTTCGTAGAAATAGGGTTTTGCCATGTTACCCAGAGTTGGTCTTGAACTCCTGGGCTCAAGCGATCCACCCACCTTGCACTCCCAAAGTGCTAGGATTACAGGTGTGAGCCACCATGCCTGACCCAGACCTACATTTTACAGATGAGAAAACTAAGATCCAGAGGAAGGAAAATTATTTCCCTATATCCAGAGAGTTAGTGGCAGAATTGGTGTTACTTTGATGATGATGATGATGATAATAATTTTAATTCAATAAATGTCTATAAGGTGCTAGGCACAGTGCTAAGGTGTTCATTCACCTGCCTAGTTTATGTTAATCCTCCCAACAACCCTTCCAGGTATGCACATTTCACAGATGAAGAAAATGAGGCTCAAAGAGGTGAACTGACATTCTAGTCATGGTCTCTGGCCTACAAAGTCCATACTCTTTGTCACTCTGTGGCACATCCACTTCCTGGGCCATAGCAGGGCTTTCTCCCATTACATCACACCCAGCCCTCCCTCCATGGCCTTCCCCAGAAAGCAATCAAGGCCTTGAGCTTGAACAAGATTCATAGTTGGATTCGCTGTACAACTAACAAACCTTATTCATTCGGCCCGGCGCGGTGGCTCACGCCTGTAATCCCAGCACTTTGGGAGGTCGAGGTGGGTGGATCACGAGGTCAGGAGTTCGAGACCAGCCTGGCCAACATGGTGAAACCCCATCTTTACTAAAAATGCAAAAATTAGTCAGTCGTGGTGGAAAGCGCCTGTAATCTCAGCTACTCGGGAGGCTGAGGCAGAAGAATTGCTTGAACCCGGAAGGCAGAGGTTGCAGTGAGCCAGGATTAGGACACTGCACTCCAGCCTAGGTGACAGAGCAAGACTCCATCTTGAAAAACAAAAACAAAAACAAAAAACCTTATTCATTCTTCAGGGACCCTTCAAGGCTTTGGAAGACTCTAGCAATGTGTTCCTATGGTCTTATTTGTTGTTTTATTTATCATTTACAAAACATATTTTCATACTCTTTGTCTTAAAGATGGCGCTTCCAAATTGTCTCGCCTGTAGGTCCCTAAAACTTGGATCTCCCCTGGCACAATCACGGAACCCCAATCAACCAATGTTTCTTTACCAAGCATCTCTTTGCCCCTCAAAAGCAGCCTCAGGCTTCTTCTCATTTGTACGTAGTACATTTGGGTGGGGGATGGACGCTCACTAGTTCACATTCATCTCATAGATTCTGACTCAGGATACAATGCCAGGTTGGGCATTGGGGTTTTCTTTGCAATGGTGAATCCTGGTCCTTATGGAGGGCCAAATCCATCCGCAGCACCCTGGTCTGTTCTGCACCTGCGATAAGGGGCTTCGCAGCTCCACAGCTTACAACACTGTGTATGCTCTCACAGGGACAATCAAGTGGGCAATAAAGAGGTCCATCCATGATACTGTCTGTGAAGAAACTTCCCTGGGGCAGAGATGGCAAGTTGTCCATCAAAAATTTTTGGTTCACCTTCTATAGTACAGTATCACTGCTGGGTAATGGCTGCCCAGCCAGGAACAATGTTTCCCGGCCTCCCTTGCAGTTGGTTATAGTCATGTGACTAAGCTGTAGCCAATGGGATGTGAGTGATGGACACCACTTCCAGGTCTGGCCTATAAATACCCTCCGCATGGTTCTCCTCCATGCCTTTTCCTTTCCCATTCCTCCGTGGGACCTTCGAAACCACATGCTGAAGATGGCTGAACTTTGGTCAACTTTAGTCCTAGAATACTATAAGAAGAATTCTACCACACTAACCTGTGCCCCTACCCAGAACTGTCATGTAAAAGAGAAATACAGGTTTTGTTTTTGTTTTGTTTGTTTATTTTTGAGACGGTCTTGCCCTGTTGCCCAGGCTGGAGTGCAGTGGCACGATCTTGGCTCACTGCAACCTCGCCTCCCAGGTTCAAGTGATTCTCGTGTCTCCACCTCCCAAGTAGCTGGGACTACAGGTGTGTGCCATCATGCCCACCTAATAAAAAAGAAATAAAATTTCTATTGTGTTTGGGTCATTGTACCTTTTGTACCGGTTGTTTGTTAAGGGAATTAATACTCTTCTCTTCTCTTGGGAATTGCTCTCTCTCCCTAAAGCACTTGTCTCCCACAGGAAAAGCCATGTTGTCATAGGACCCTAGCCCCTGGCCACAGCTGAAGGAGTGTAGTGCTGAGCACTTGAACCTCCAGGGGCTCATCGTAGACACGCTGCTCCCCATGGCCACGGTGGAAGGGTCAGGGCTGGAAACCTGAATGAAGCAGAAACAACAAGTTTCTTCTAAGGATTTCTGTACCTGTGACCCAGGAGGTCAAGGCTGATGCAAACTATAAGATGCCCTATTTCCCACCACTTAAGAAAGCCACCACTACACCAAAGAATTGAAGACGAGGGATTCTTGCTTTGGATGTTGTTCCTAAGCCATGGCTCCATCTTTGTCCTTCCTGTAATTTGAGTTTCCTCCCTTCCTTGGATCTGTGAGCCACTCAATAACCATCAGAGTTAGGTTTCTGCTACTTACAACCCAGTAGACGCCTTGTTAACATACACACCAAAGCAAAGGAAAGGGTGTGTGTGCAGTGGGGTGGGATTGCCAGATGTGTTCAGTAGTGATTGAGTGGAGAACCCCATGCCAGGCACCGTGGCTTACACTTGTAATCCCAGAATTTTGGGAGGCCAGGGTAGGCGGATCACCTGAGGTCAGGAGTTCGAGACCAGACTGGCCAACATAGTGAAACGCTACCAAAAATACAAAAATTAGCTAGGCGTGGTGGCACGTTCCTATAGTACTAGCTACCCAGGAGGCTGAGGCATGAGAATTGAAACTAGGAGGTGGAGGTTGCAGTAAGCCAAGATTGCACCACTGCACTCCAGTCTGGGTGAGAGAGAAAGACTCTGTCTGGGAAAAAAAAAGAACCTCAGTCTGCTACTCCATCCCAAATCCTGACTTCTATTTCTCCCAGGTCTCTTCAGCTGCCAATGTACTCACAAACCCTTCCCCACAAAACCCACCACTGGACTTCGCTCATCCTTTAGGTAGTGGCCCCCAGGGCTCCCGTATCTCCAACAGCCTCCAGCCATCAAGGGTAATTCAGAGAGAATGCAAGGACAGACTTTACCTTTTCACTATCCAAAGAAGGCTCAGGGCCAGGTAGGCGATTGTGCTTATCAAATACGCCAGGGGCAGATCATAGGTGAAGTTCTGAAATTTCACCCCATCAATGGTGTAATGTCCGTAAAAGAGGCTAGTCTCCTCCAGGAAACCCTGAAACGAAGCCAAGAGCATGAGGTTAGACTGGTCAGCTCACTGTGGGGCAACCAGAAGAGTAGTCCCTGCCTCAAGGAACACAAGTTCCAGTGTCCCCTTTCCTCTCTGTATCTCCAAAGACTGGAACAGTCCCAGAGGCACAGGGAGTACTCAGTGTTTGGGAAATAAAGCACTGATAAAACCCTGGCATTAAAAATGCACAGGTGGGCCAGGCAAGGTGGCTCACACCTGTAATCCCAGCCCTTTGGGAGACCGAGACGGGCAGATCACCTGAGGTCAAGAGTTCGAGACCAGCCTGGCCAATATGGCAAAACTCCTGTCTCTACTAAAAATACCAAAAAAATTAGCCGGACTTGGTGTTGCGTGCCTGTAATCCTAGCTACTTGGGAGGCTGAGGCAGGAGAATCACTTGAACTTAGGAGGCAGAGGTTGCAGAGAGCTGAGATCACACCACTGCACTCCAGCCTGGGTGACAGAGTGAGATCCATCTCAAAATAAATAAATAAATAAAAATGCACAGATGGCCGGGCATGGTAGCTCACACCTGTAATCCCAGAACTTTGGAAGGCTGAGGCAGGAGGATTACTTGAGCCCAGGAGTTTGAGACAAGCCTGGACAACATAGAGAGACCGCTATCTCTACAAAAATTGTTTTTTAAAATTAGCTAGGCATAGAGGTGCATGGCTATGGTCCCAGCTGCTTGGGAGGCTGGAGTAAGCCGTGATTGTGCTACTGCACTGGATAACAGAGCAAGAGCTTGTCTCTGAAAGAAAAAAAGCACATATAACAAGCCAAAACTGAAATTAACAATAAAATTCCATGTGCCATAGCATCAAAAAGAATAAAACATTAGGACTAAATTTAACTAAAGAAGTGCAAATCTTGGCCGGGCCCGGTGGCTCATGCCTGTAATCCCAGAACCTTGGTAGGCGAAGGCAGGTGGATCACAAGGTCAGGAGTTCGAGACCAGCCTGGCCAACATAGTGAAACCCCGTCCCCACTAAAAATACAAAAATTAGCCGGGCATGGTGGCACGTGCCTGTAGTCCCAGCTACTTGGGAGGCTGAGGCAGGAGAATCACTTGAACCTGGGAGGTGGAGGTTGTGGTGAGCCGAGATCACGCCACTGCATTTCAGCCTGGGCAAGAGGGCGAGACTCTGTCTCAAAAACAAAATAATAATAATTAAAGAAGCCATAAAGAAACAGAAAACATCCCATGTTTATGGATCAGATCTATGGCCAAATTCCTCAAATTGATTTACCGATTCAACATTATCCTTCTTAGTGACCTAGCTGGCTTCCTTACAGAAACTGACAAGCTGATCCTAAAATTCACATGGAATCGCAACACACTCAGAAGAAGAGCCAAAACAACTTTGAAGAAGAAGAAGAGTAAGGCCTGGTGGCTCAGAAAACTCTCTGACTTCTTCTCCTTCTTTTTTTAAAATAAAAAAGTAGAGCTATGGTCTCGCCATGTTGCCCAGGCTGGTCTCCAACTCCTGGGCTCAAACGGTCCTCCAGCCTCAGCCTCCCAAAGTGCTGGGATTACAGGTTTTGAGCCACTGCACCCTGCTGCCTGACTTCTTATGGTAGGAATGACTGAACGCCTCAAATACCTCCTTGGATGGCAGGAAAACTCCAGGAGAGTGAAGGAGAGAACAGATATAGCAGACACATTGTAGGTAGGTAGTACATAGTGGTTGCCTACGGCATTGTTTACAAAGGAAGGAAATGAGAGGAAATCTGAATGTCCATACAGGGATCGGGCTAGATCACTAAAAATCCATATTATATTGATATTTCATATATCAAGCAAGACCACGTAAGTGCACAGAGAAAGGTCAACAGTCAAGTAGGCTGTAAACCATGGGGTTAAATGTTCAGTGACCTCCGGGGAGGGATATTTTCACTTTTTTACTCTATAAATTCTGTATTTTTCATGACAACCGTGCATTCTGTGTGTGTGTGTGTGTGTGTGTGTGTGTTCTTAAATTTATTGAAGCTGAGCATATTTACGTTATACAATCGTGCGTATCTGTATTTTAAAATTATACAAGACAACCGTGCATTCTTATATTATTTGGATAACGAAGTCGTTTGTTAACTGGAAAAGAAAAAGTAGAAGCGGAGGACTCCATTCTCCTTTCAACTCTCCCAAAGGCCATAAAAACGTGTCCAACCAGAAGAAACCTGTGTGTGCTGCCAAGGGCTGATATCAGGGTTATCACCAACCTCTCCCTCAAGACAATGTAACGATTACAGGGCAAAGGTCTGCTGGGCCTGGAAAATGTTTTCTGATTTGATAATGAGCTTGGTTCAATTGTTTTCAAGAAAAATGAGCCCCTGTTTGAGCTCTCTGACCCTCTTTCACTTGTGCCTATTTACATTCAGATTATGAACAATCACATTACATTAAAATTCAGTTTCCCAGCCACACTAGACATATTTCAAGTGCTCAAGAGTTAGTGGTCCTGGGCCCGGCACAGTGGCTCATACCTGTAATCTCAGCACTTTCGGAGGCTGAGGCAGGCAGATCACTTGAGGTCATGGGTTCGAGACCAGCCTGGCCAACATGATGAAACCCCGTCTCTACTAAAACCAAAATTTAACCAGGCGTCATTGCGCACCCCTGTATTCCCAGCTACTCGGGAGGCTGAGGCACAAGAATTGCTTGAAACCAGGAGGCGGAGGTTGCAGTGAGCCAAGATTGCACCACTGCACTTCAGCCTGGGTGACAGAGTGAGACTCTGTCTAAAAAAAAAAACAAAAAGTCAGACACGGCGGCTCACACCTGTAATCCCAGCACTTTCAGAGGCCGAGGTGGGCAGATCACTTGAAGTCATGGGATCGAGACCAGCTTGGCCAACATGGTGAAATCCAGTCTCTACTAAAAATAGAAAAATTAGCTGGGTGTGGTGGCGGGCGCCTGTAACCCCAGCTACTTGGGAGGCTGAGGCAGGAGAATCACTCGAACCCAGGGGGCAGAGGTGGCAGTGGGCCAAGATCACGCCAATGTACTCCAGCCTGGGCGACAGAGCGAGACTCTGTCTCAAAAAAACAAACAAAAAAGAGTTAGTGGTTCCATTGTTACACAGCACAGGTCCACATTCTCCAGATCATTGCAGAAAGTTCTCTTTCAGACAGGTCATTATCATGCTTACTTTATTGAACGTCTATAATCAAGCGCAGCTAACTCTCCTATAAAATTTTTCCTATCAGGAAGAAGGTTACAGTATGCGAAGAAACTTTTTTTTTTCCTTCCACAAACAGAAACTTTTCTTGTGGGATGTAATCTAAAGAAATGGGGTTAACAGCAGCTCTGGGATTTGATCCCAACTTTGCTTTCAAAGGCAGTGTGACCTTGGGTAGGTCACTGAATTTCTTTTCTCATTTGCACAAGTCAACATTTGCATGGCTTTTATCTTCTAATTTGCATAGTGGACATTTGCACAGTTTCTGTTTTCTCATCTGCATAGTAGACTTTTTTCTTTTATTATTATTATTTTTATTTTTATTTTTTTGAGACAGAGTCTTTCTGTCACCCAGCTTGGAGTGTAGTGGCGCAATTTTGGCTCACTGCAACCTACGTTTCCCAGGTTCAAGAGATTCTTGTGCCTCAGCCTCCCAAGTAGCTGGGATTACAGGTGCACACCACCACGCCAGGCTAATCTTTTTTTTTTTTTTGAGACGGAGTTTCGCTCTTGTTGCCCAAGCTGGAATGCAGTGGCTCAATCTCGGCTCACTGCAACCTCCACCTCCCAGGTTCAAGCAATTCTCCTGCCTCAGCCTCCCGAGGAGCTGAGATTACAGGCACCAGCCACCACACCCAGCTAATTTTTTTGTATTTTTAGTAGAGATGGGGTTCCCCATGTTGGCCAGGCTGGTCTCAAGCTCCTGACCTCAGGTGATCTGCCCACCTCAGCCTCCCAAAGCACTGGGATTACGGGCATGAGCCACCGTGCCCAGCCATGTATTTTCTTTTTAAACTTTTTTTTTGCATAGTAGACTTTTGAACACCCATCCAACAATTCCTCTGAGTTGTTTTTAGGAAAACATGAGATCAGAGATGTAAAAGAATTTTTTCAAAATCAGGCGGGGTGTAGTGGCTCACACTGTAATCCCAGCACTTTGGGAAGCCAAGACAGGTGGATTGCTTGAGCTCAGGAGTTCGAGACCAGCCTAGGCAACATGGCAAAACCCTGTCTCTACAAAGCACACACGCGCGCGCACAAATTAGCTGGGCATGGTGGTATGCACCTGTAGTCCCAGCTACTCAGGAGGCTTGAGGTGAGAGGATGGCTTGAGCCTAGAAATAGAGTTTGCAATGAGCCAAAATCCTGCCACTGCACTCTCTGAGCGACAGAGCCAGAGCTTGTCTCAAAAAGAAAGGAAAAAAAAAAGGTAGGGGTGCTTTTTCAAAATCAAACACAGTGGACAAATTCAAGGCTTTCTACCAATTTATTCAGAAAAGTGGAAGCTCAATGGTATGGCATTTTTGTTTGTTTGTTTTGTTTTTGTTTTGTTTTGAGACGAACTCTCCCTCTTGTTGCCCAGGCTGGATCGTGCAGTTGCACACAATCTCAGTTCACTGCAGTTTCCGCCTCCCGGATTCAAGTAATTCTCCTGCCTCAGCCTCCTAAGTAGCTGGGATTACAGGCGCCCCCCACCGTGCCCAGCTAATTTTTCTATTTTTAGTAGAGATGGGGTTTCACCATGTTGGCCAGGCTGGTCTTGAACTCCTGACCTCAGGTGATCTGCCTGCCTTGGCCTCTCTGAAGTGCTGGGGTTACCGGCATGAGCCATCGCGCTCGGCCGGAAAGGTATTTTCATATCAGTAATTTTCAGAAAGTATTTCTGAAAAAATAAAAGTACTTATTTGTATTTCTCAAACACCTAGAGCAGTGGTTCTGAACTGGGGGTAATTTTGTCTGCTAGGGAACATTTGGCAATCTCTGGAAACATTTTTGGTTGTCAGAGTCGGAAGAGGGCAGTGCTGCTGGCATCTAGTGGGTGGAGACCAGGGATACAGCTCAGCGGGCTACCATGCACCAGATAGGCCTACACAACACAGAGTTATCTAACCCACTGGGCACGGTGGCTCATGCCTGTTACCCCAGTACTTAAAATCTCATTGCTTTTATGGTAGCTCTAAAAGGTTTTTTTTTGTCACCTTCTAAAAAAATTATTTTGGCCAGGCACAGAGGCTCACACCTGTAACCCCAACACTTTGAGAGGCCGAGGCAGGAGGCTTCATCGAGGTCAGGAGCTTGAAACCAGCCTGGGCAACATAGTGAGACCCCACATCTCTAGAAAGAAAATTAAAAATTAGCCAAGTATAGTGCATGCCTGTAGTCCTAGCTACTTGGGAAGATCGTTTTAGCCCAGGAGTTTGAGATTACAGTAAACTATGATTGCACCACTATACTCTAACCTGGGGAACAGAGCATGATCCTATCTTCAAAAAAAAAAAAAAAAAAAAAAAAGAATATCAATAGTGCCAAGTTTGAGAAACCCTGGTCTAAAGGGCAAAGATGGCTACTTTTCATAGCTGCAATCTTATTTGCTGAAAAAAGTGAAATAAAAAAATGAAAAATCACAAAATCTTTTTTTTAAGATGGGGTCTTGCTCTATTGCCCAGGCTTAAGTGCAGTGGTGCAGACTGCAACCTCAACCTTCTGGGCTCAAGTGATTCCCCTACCTCAGCCTCCAGAGTAATTGGGACTACAGGTGCATGCCACCACACCCAGCTAATTATGTTTATTTTGTGTAGAGATATGTTGCCCAGGCTGGTTTCAAACTCCTGGCCTCAAGCAATCCTCCTGCCTCGGCCTCTCAAAGTGTTGGGGTTACAGGTGTGAGCCACTGTGCCTGGCCAAAATCATTTTTTTAGAAGGCGATAATAAAAACCTTTTAGAACTACCATAAAAGCCAAGAGATTAATTCCATGTTAGAGTTGGGGACTGGTGGTGGGGGATGGTAACCTGGGATTGACTTATAAGGGATTTCAGAGAATCTTCATATGCCCATGTACATGATATGCAGGTATGTGTGCATATCATCTGAAAGTGTGAGTTTGTACATCACACATGTCCCTGTGTGTAATTTCTGGAAAACAAGAGCCACATCTTTCATGCACCCAGTCTGGGGCTCCAAAATGTTCGGGTTTATCAGTGTCAGAGAAATTGTAAACATTCTGTCTGGGTTCATTTTCACTGAAGCTTCCTTCTTTAGGGGAAGTCAGCATCTTGTTGCAGATCAACAGAAAGGTTGAAGGACTAGAGGCCGGGCATGGTGGCTCACACCTGTAATCCCAGTACTTTGGGAGGCTGAGGAGAGTGGACCACCTGAGGTCAGGAGTTCCAGACCAGCCTGGCCAACATGGTGAAACCCCATCTCTACTAAAAACACAAATATTAGCTGAGCGTGGTGGCACGCACCTGTAATTCCAGCTACTCACGAGGCTGAGGCAGGAGAATCACTTGAACCCGGGAGGCAGAGGTTGCAGTGAGCCGAGATTGAACCACTGCACTCCAACCTGGGCGACAGAGCGAGACTCTGTCTCAAAAAAATAATAATAATAAATAAAAAGAAAGAACTAGAAAAAGGCCAATGGCTGAAAGTGACAAAGCATATTTCCTGACAGTCTAGCAGTTGATGGTGAACATTGCTCTTTCAGATGAGGTAACTGCAAATCCTGTTTCATTTACTGGTATATATGTCAACCAATACTTGTGTTTGGCTCTCACTGCAGAAATTCGGGAAACTGATCTTTAAATCAATCAATTTTTAGTAGATTGAGAAGCTAAACAAAGGATTATGTTAAATACTTACAGTGCCAGAAAGCAAGTCTATGATATAACTGTAAAAGTAAATGAGTCCAGAACTGCTTACTGGATAGACTGTACATTGTATATCTATAAGAAACAAAAACCAGAATGTCAGTGGAAACAGTTTTACAGTCTCTATAACCTACTTGTTTTTTTTGTTTGCCTGGCTCATTTTTGTATTTTTAGTAGAGATGGGTTTTCGCCATGTTGGCCAGGCTGGTCTTGAACTCCTGACCTCAGGTGACCCGCCCACCTCAGCCTCCCAAAGTGCCAGGATTACAGGCGTGAGTCACCGCACCTGGCCATAGCCTGCCTGTTTTTCACAATTTGTGATTATAAGCATGTACAGTCATGCATGGCTTAACAAGGAGGATACAGTCTGATAAATATGTCCTTAGGCAATTTCGTCATGCGAACATCACGGAGTGTACTTACGTAAACTTAGATGGGATGGCCTACTACACACCTAGGCTGTATGGTATGGCCTAATGCTCCTAGGTTACAAACCTGGACAGTATGTTACTGCACTGAATACTGTAGGTAACTGCAACACAATGCTAAGTATTTGTGTATCTAAATATGTCTAAACAAAGAAAAACTACAGTAAAAATACAGTATTATAATCTTAGGGGACCACCATTGCATATGTGATCCATTGTTAATTGAAACATTGTCATGGGGTACATGACTGTATATGTATATTACATTTAGAAATGTCATATATATTTACATATTTGCACAGATATGTTTGTATATTTGTGATTTGCCATTTTCAGTCCAAACCCCAATGTGTCCAATACAGTAATATTTCTTTCTCCTTCTACTTCTAGTGTTTCCTTCACTATTCTCCCCAAACATCTGGCGATACGTCTTTTTTATATATTTTGTATGTAAGTCCGCATATAGAGCTTGTTTTTTGCTTGTATGTGTGACTATCAATGCTCCAGATAGAGGCTGCTCCAACAGCTTGGGCTCCAGAGTGAAGCTCACCAGCCCACAGTGGGCATGGACTGTGGGTGAGAAATGAACCTTTGTGGTTATTTCTCACTCACAGTCTCAAATAGCCACAGAGGTTTATTTCTCACTCACTGTCTCATACTGTTATGCTGTCATGCTTGCATGCTGTTATTCCATAGCAGCATGAGTGTTATGGGATCACTTGTTTCTGCAGCATAACCTAGACCATCCTGACTAATACAGTCGCCCAAGAATTAGAATAAGATTCTTAGCAAAGCAAGCACTGTAGGGAGGTACACAGTGAAAAACAAACACACTTCATAGTAAACCAGGCCTTAGACTCACCTGTGTCTTTGAAAGGAATGAGCACGAAGCTGCTGTTGGTGATCTTGTATTTCGTGAGTAAGATTGGGAGCAAAACCAGCATAAAGATGATCAGAAATATCACCAAATTCAGCAACACCAGGAATCTCAAGAAGGAGAAATAGGACTGAATCCCAGTGCCAAATTTCCCTGGAAAAAACAAACCTGGACATCACTGACCAGGGGTATTGACACACTACACATCATAGATTCAATTAGCCACAAAAGCTGAAGCTGGAGTAATCAGTAGCTGGAAAGAGGAAGAAACTTTTTTTTTTTAATTGTTAGCTTTAAGACTCGATCTTCTAGTGTTTTAACTTTTCACCTATAGATCTACAATCAATCTTGAATTAATCACTTGAGAACGGTATGAGGGAGGGCTCAGTATTTATCTTTTCTTATAGGAATCTCTAGTTGACTCAGCACCATTTATTGGCTGCTTTTTTTGGAAATCATCACCTGACCACATATGTATGAATCTGTTTCTGAACTCTATCCCGTTCCATGGGTCTACATGTCTATCCTTACACCAACGCTAGACTGTCTTAATTATTGCAGATTTGTAAGACTTGATACATGGTATCTTTTTTTTTTTTTTTTTTTTTTTTGAGACAGTCTCACTCTGTCACCCAGGCTGGAGTGCAGTGGTGCAATCTCAGTCACTGCAAGTTCTGCCTCCCAGGTTCACGCCATTCTCCTGCCTCAGCCTCCCGAGTAGCTGGGACTACAGGCGCCTGCCACCACACCTGGCTAATTTTTTGTATTTTTAGTGGAGATGGAGTTTCACTGTGTTAGCTAGGATGGTCTCGACCTCCTGACCTTGTGATCCGCCCACCTCAGCCTCCCAAAGTGCTGGGATTACAGGTGTGAGCCACCACACCTGGCCCACTGATACATGGTATCTTTCAGCTTTGTTACTCCTCAAGATTGTCTTAGACATCTTTGGTCTTTTGCATTTATATACAAATGTTAGAATTAGTGTTTTAATTTTCATGCACAGTCTGCTAAGATTCTGATTGGGATTACATAAAATATATAGGTCAATTTGAGGAGAAGTGACATATAATATTAAGTCTTCTGATACATGAACATGGTATATTTAGGTCTTCCTTAGTTTTTCTCAATAATACTTTATAGTTTTCTGTACACAATTATTGCATATGGTTCTTTAGATATATTCCTAGATATCTGATTTTTCTTTTTTTTTTTTTTGACACCGAGTCTTACTCTGTTGCCCAGGGTGGAGTGCAGTGGCGTGATCTCAGCTCCCTGCAACCTCTGCCTCTTGGGTTCAAGGAATTCTTACGCCTCAGCCTTCCGAGTAGCTAGGACTATAGGCGTGAGCCACCACTCCCAGCTAATTTTTATGTTTTTAGTACAGACGGGGTTTCACCATGTTGGCCAAGCTGGTCTCGAACTCCTGATCTCAGGTGATCCACCTGCCTCAGCCTTCCAATGTGCTGGGATTATAGGCGTGAGCCACCACGCCAGGCCCTGACATTTTTGATACTATTGTAAACTGTATCATTTAAAAAAATTCACTTTCTAAATGCTTGTTGTTGGTATATAGAAATACAATTCATTTTAAATAGAGACACTTTAAAATTAACCATAAACCTTGTTACATAACATTAATTTCAATAGTTGTCTCCTTAATTATCTACATGCATATCATTGTCATCTCAAAAAAAAAAAAAAAAAAAAAGACATTTTATTTTTTCCTTTCTAATTATTATCCTTCCCCCCGACCATCCTGCTACATTGGCTAGAACTTCTAGGATGATTTTGAATAGAATCTGTGATAATCGGCACCTTTTTCTCATTTTCAATCTCAGGGAAAAAGGTTTTAATATTTCATCATTAAGTATGTTGTTTGCTGTATAATTTTTATAGGTTTTTAAAATAAAATTAAGAAAGTTCTTATCTATTTATTATTTGCTAAAAATGAGAACTGAAGTTTGTCAGTGCTTTTTCTGCATCTGTTGGGATGATCCTATAATTTTTTTCTTTTATTCTGTTTTGCGGTGGATTACATCAATTGATTTGCACATAGAAAACCAACCTTCCGCTAGATAATGATTAAATTGCTGAGGATAGAAAGCATTCTGAAGAGCAAGGATGGCTTCTTGCTCTTGGTAGGAGCAAAGAACTCATTACTGGAGACCGAAGATACAAGATACCCACAGTTTTTTGCCACTCTCTAATACTTAGCAATCTGCCAGAGGCAAGAAATTTATTATCACACCTGCACTTCATGTCAGATGAGCACCTACCCAGCCAAGAAATCACGGGTAGAGTAATTGCAGAGAACATCAAAATCCCAGTTCCCAGGGGGAACCTACCCTCTACCACACAAGCCACTTTCTGAATAAAAATGTCCAGAAAGCCTACCACTTCACAAGAGAGGAAGCTAGACATAGTGGCTAAAACCTTGGACTCTACATCTTGAATGCCTGGGTTCAAACCCCGGTTCTGCCTCACCCTGTCTGAGTGAACTTGGACAAGATCTCAAACTCTCTGAGCCATGCAAATGACAAGCACCTAAATGAAAGTTTCCCTTGAAGATTAACTGAGGTAACGAGTAAAGTGCTTAACACAATGCCTGGTTCACAGTAAATGCTCAATAAAAATTAGCTTTTATTATTTTGCTCCAAACATAATATTACACTTAAATCTCAAGAGAAAAAGTATGAGTGCTTGGTTGAAGTTTTAAGTGAGCCATGAAGCCTTTTAGAAATATATTATATTCTCCAAATAAAACAACAATTAAAAGGTTGTTCATTGGATAGATTACCAATTGTATTTTATAGGTCTTAAAATAGTAATAATGGAGAAAATCATTTCCTTTATTTATCCTACTACATTCCTTACAAACCTCACGAAGTTTCCATTTTAGCAGTTTTGGGGAGATGTTTGAAAAATGTTTTGCTGTAAAATAGATAATCCTGGCCAGGCGTGGTGGCTCACGCCTGTAATCCCAGCACTTTGGGAGGCCAAGGCAGGCAGATCACCTGAGGTCAGGAATTCAAGACCAGCCTGTCCAACATGGTGAAACCCTGTCTCTACTAAAAATACAAAAAGTAGCCGGCCTGGTGGCACCTACCTGTAGTCTCAGCTACTTGGGAGGTTGAGGCAGGAGAGTCACTTGAACCTGGGAGGCGGAGGTTGCATTGAGCCAAGACCGCACCATTGCACTCCAGCCTGGGCAACAAGAGCGAAACTTCATCTCAAAAATAAAATAAAATAAAATAGATAATCCAAAAAAAGTTTAATGTTTCTAATTTTGTATTTTTTTTTTTTAATTTTCATTTCTATTTTTAGATTAAATAGAGACAGGATCTTACTATGTTACCCAGACTGGTCACAAACTCCTGAGCCCAAGTGATCCTCCTGCCTCAGCCTCCCAAAGAGCTAGGATTACAGCAGGCATGAGCCACTATGCCCGGCTAATTTTGTATTTTGGCACAACTTCCAATTTTTGCATACTTGCTATGGACCGAATTGTGTCCCCACCCCCAAATTCATACGGTGAAGCCCTAACCCCCAGTGTAATGGTATTTGGAGATGGTCCTTTGGGAGGTGATTAGGTTTCAATGAGGTCTTGAGACTGGGCCCCCATGATGGGATTAGTGTCATTATAAAAAGAGACACCAGAGAGTTTGCACTCTTTCTCAGAGCACACTCAAAGCAAAGGTTACGTGAACACAGCAAGAAGGCCTGTTCAAGTCTCCAAAACTATGAGAAAAAAATTTGTTTTTTAAGCCATCCAGTCTGCAGTATCTTGTTATGGCAGCCCAGGCCAACTAGCAACAACACTTTAATCCCAAATTCTCACCATTATAGGAAAGGAAGGGTTCACAGTATTTTCAGGGCCATGGGAACTCTCTGCAGTTTGGTAAAAGTGATGAACCTCGTCTCAGGATAATAAAGCTTTCTGTTTGTTTATTTATGTTTTTGTTTTGAGACCGTGTCTGGCTCTGTTGCCCAGGCTGGAGTACAATAGCACAATCATAGCTTACTGCAGCCTCAAACTCCCGGGCTCAGGCGATCCTCCTGCCTAAGCTACCCCAGAAGCTGGGACTATGGGTGTATAGCACCACATCCAGCTAATTTTTAAAACTTTTGGGCCAGGCGCGGTGGCTTACGCCTTTAATTCCAGCACTTTGGGAGGCCGAGGTGGGCGGATCACGAGGTCAGGAGATGGAGACCATCCTGGCTAACACAGTGAAACCCCGTCTCTACTAAAAATACAAAAAATTAGCCAGGCGTGGTGGCGGGCGCCTGTAGTCCCAGCTATTTGGGAGGCTGAGGCAGGAGAATGGCATGAACCCGGGGAGCGGAGCCCGCAGTGAGCCGAGATCACGCCACTGCACTCCAGCCTGGGCGACAGAGTGAGACTCTGTCTCAAAAAAAAAAAACACTGACTAACAAACTTTTTGTTGTAGAGGCAAGGTCTTACTTTGTTACCCAGGCTGGTCTCAAACTCCTGGGCTCAGATGATCTTCCTGCCTCAGTCTCCCAAAATGCTAGGATTACAGGCATGAACCACGGCCTGGCTGGGATAATGTTTTTAATAATATGATAACTGTATGTCTGTTTTTATTTTATGCATTGAAATTAGAAGTATAACATTTTTTAAAAATATATTTATGCATAATATTGTAATGCATAAAATAATAGTCTACTAATATTAATATATTATAATTTAATATTATTTTGAAATAATACTATTTATGCATTTAATTTAAATTAAATTATTAAATAATTTATTTTATTTTATTTTATTTTGAGACGGAGTCTCGCTCTGTCGCCCAGGCTGGAGTGCAGTGGCGCCATCTCGGATCACTGCAAGCTCCACCTTCCGGGTTCACGACATTCTCCTGCCTCAGCCTCCTGAGTAGCTGGGACTACAGGTGCCCACCACCACGCCCAGCTAATTTTTTGTATTTTTAGTAGACACGGGGTTTCACTGTGTTGGCCAGGATGGTCTCGATCTCCCGGCCTCATGATCCGTCCGCCTCAGCATCCCACAGTGCTGGGATCACAGGCGTGAGCCACTGCACCCTGCCAATTTAGTATTATTTTTAAATAGTACTATTTTGTGCATTTAATTTAAATGCATAAGATAAAAACAGATACACAGTTATCATCTTATTAAAAAAATATGTGTGATAGAATGACCTACGTGAGCATCAGTGAGCACCTTTACTGGCACTTCTTTTGAGACAGAGTCTTGTTCTGTCACCCAGGCTGGAGTGCAATAGTGCGGTCTCGGCTCACTGCAACATCCACCTCCTGGGTTCAAATGATTCTCATGCCTCAGCCTCCCAAATAGCTGGGATTACAGGCATGCACTACCATGCCCAGCTAATTTTTTGTAGTTTTAGTAGAGATGGGATTTCACCATGTTGGCCAGGCTGGTCTTGAACTCCTGACCTCGTGATCCACCCATCTTGGCCTCCCAAAGGGCTGGGATTACAGGAGTGAGCCACTGTGCCTGGTCTTCACTAGCACATTAAATAACAAGATCTAGCGGCAAGTCTAATAACGACTGAAATTTCCAAGCAGTCATGAGCATTAGCGGTATTCCAAGATAAATACAACTGGAAGGGACAGGAAAATATCCACGATTTTTTCCTGACAAAGACACAGGTTCTGCTAAACCTTGCGGTGGTTTGTTGTTCACATTCATCATAGAAGGAAATGCTCAATTTCAGCTAGACGCTAGTGGAAACGAAGCTGTACTTGCTCCCCAGACACAGAGACTTCTGAGGAGGAGCCTGCACAGAGGCCGGGGCGGGATACCTTCTATGCTGCGAATGTCCTCCCGCCACAGCTCCAGGTGGGTCGTCATCTCTCGAGCCTTCTCCAGGAACCTCTTCCAAGACTTGCTGCTGTACCGCTTCCACTGGTCCCACTCGGAGAGATACTTCATTTGTGTCTCCTGAATGTCCCTGCATGGAAAACATGAGCATCACAATCACAACAGCAGCAGCATCAAGACTCAGCATCCCAGCCCAGCGCGGTGCTCCACGCCTGTAATCCCAGCACTTTGGGAGGCCGAGGCAGGTGGATCATCTGAGGTCAGGAGTTCGAGGCCAGCCTGGCCAACATGGTGAAACGCCATCTCTACTAAAAATACAAAATTAGCCAGGCATGGTGGCGAGTGCCTGTAATCCTGGCTACTCCAGGAAGCTGAGGCAGGAGAATCGCTTGAACCTGGGAGGCTGAGTTTGCAGTAAGCCAAGATTGTGCCATTGCACTTCAGCCTGGGCAACAAGAACGAAACTTCGTCTCGAAAAAAAAAGAAAAGAAAAAGACTCAGCATCTCATAAAACCCCAGCTGAAAGGACAGAGAAATATGTGAGCTCTCATACATTGCTGCAAGGAATATAAAATGCTGCCGCCGCTATGGAAAAAAGTTTGGCAGTCCGTCAAAATGTCAGAGTAACCATGCGCCCTGCGGTTCTCAGATCACATGAAGCCAGGAGTTCAAGACCAGCCTGGCCAACATGGCAAAACCCCGTCTCTACTGAAAATACCAAAATTAGCCAAGCGTGGTGGCGGGCACCTGTAATCCCAGCTACTAGGAAGGCTGAGGCAGGAGAATCGCTCGAACCCAGAAGGTGGAGGTTTCAGTGAGCCGAGATCATGCCATTGCACTCCAGCCTGGGTGACAGAGCAAGACTCTGTATCAAAAAAAAAATTATTTTAAATAAAAATAATAAAAGACAAAAGAAAAATAGTATTTTGTGACACATGAAAATCACATGAAATTCAAATTTCAGTGTCCATAAATATTCCTAGAACACAGCCATGCCAATTCATTTATGAACCATCTGCAACAGCAGAGCTGAGTAGTTGCAACAGAGACTGCACGGCCCACAAAGCTGATCCTGAGTCTAGAGGGAAAGCAAACATGTTGACATTCAACAACGACAGCTCCCTGGGAGAAGTGCTACAAAAGGGGATGTGGTCAGGGCTCTGGAAACCTGGAGGAGATGCCCCAAGTCCAAGCTGGTGTTAGAGGAAGGAGTAAGGAGAGCAGGGGAAAAAGAAAGTGCTGGGGCCTGAAGGCGAGAGAGGAAACATGAGGAATTTGCCAACCATCCATGGCACATGGCACATGCCTCCACCCTCCCACCAGTCTGTCCTCCTCCATCAGACAGGGAGCTCCTATTAAAGAAAAGGACTTGAACCTCCCATCCAAACAAGCCTCCCTGTGTTGTGCGTCAGTTTCCTTATCTGTAAGTTGGAGTTAGTAAAGTACCTACCCTTAGATCAGTGGTTCTCAAGTGGGGGCAATTTTGCACACCTCCCAAAGAACATCAGGCAATGGTCTGGGGACATCTTTGACTGTCACAACTTGGGGGAGGGGGACATGCTTCTGGCATCTAGTGGGTAAAGGCCAGGGATGCTACTAAACAACCTCCAATCCACAGACAGCCCTCCACAACAGAGAACGATCTGGCCCTAAATGTCAATAAGCAAGAGTGTGGCTGGGCGTGGTGGCTCACGCCTGTAATCCCAGCACTTTGGGAGGCCGAGGTGGGCGGATCACGAGGTCATAAGATTGAGACCACCCTAGCTAACACGGTGAAACGCCGTCTCTACTAAAAAAAAAAAAATACAAAAATTAGCCGGGCGTGGTGGCAGGCACCTGTAGTCCCAGCTACTTGGGAGGCTGAGGCAGGAGAATGGCGTGAACCCAGGAG